ATATATATAACCTGCTAGGCCTTTTTGGTTGAAATCGATTTATTTCATTTGGGCTTGGTTAAAAATGTATGTCACAACGCGCGGAGTCTTCAAATCCCGCAGTTGCGTCGAGCCTGCGCCGAGCGCCCGGCGGCCGCCTATACTGCCGATACCGGCCGATTTTATAAATAAATAAAACGCCATTCTGACACGAAATAATATTTACTAACTTTCTAATTCTTTGCCTATTGAGCGAGGGGGCCGTAGAATTCCTTCTTAAGGCATATCTTCTCTTTTATACGTAAACTAGATGCCATCGTTTAGAAACGGAAGAACAGTTTTGTTTGATGATGATTCTACTATAATTTTTAAAAAACAATACATAGTCCGATTTTAGGCGTTTGAAATTAGTTTCGTGATAAAGAGAGTACACTTAGGAGAAGCTGAGTCAATGCAGTTTTGCATTTCAAACACGCAATCCCATACGCCATTGAAAATCATTATGCAACTGACCGATGTGAAAAGGCAACAATATTTCTGTGTCTCTCAATTCAGTGAAACGGAACGTCGTCTTAAATTAAATAAAAACTAAATCAAGTTTGCTACGCTACAAACTCAGAATTATTTCAAATTTGGTCAGCCTTCATGCAGCTCATTGTGTATATTTTGCAAATGTACATTCCTGCTCGAGATAAGGCATAATATTCTGAGGAAATACATCCTATAGAACCCAGATGTTTAGATTGCAGAAAAAAGTGTGTAAGAACAAAAAACACATCCAGGTGAATACTGCAGGTTTTTCTTCATTGAACTTGAAACCTTACCACTGTTTCGCTTATTTACGAAATCTGTATTTTTTCTCATAACTTAAGGGTGGAAACATTTTCATGAAATACAATATTTATAATTACAACACAAGTTGTAAGAATCATAATCATGAGTCACATGAACAGCTCACTATAAAAAAAATCATGTAGTATAATATGTGGATGTTATTTTCCAACACATTGACAAATGGCAATAAAAAAATTGAAACTGAAACCCAAGTTTAAATGCCCCCAAAATCTCTTTTCTTCGGCATAACTGTTACTATATATTTAGAGAGTAAACTGCCCACCAAAAAGAAATATATTTATTTTAACAACAATATTTAATGAATTAGTTCACATTTGTAGTGAATAATTTTAAAATGACTTAATATGCCTATAGCAAGTAATGTACTTCATCTTCTAGGTCAATGACCCCCATCTCAATCAGGTTTTTCATCCAGTTTCCCTGATTCATTGAGTAAATGCTGAGATGGCCCCTTGTTTTGCTTCTGGACATAAATATAGCTTCACCATGCGTACGTGCTGTTGAGCTCTCCTTATGCTAGTTGTGGTAAGAGTAGATTGCGATTAATAAAAGCAGATCATCAGGGAAATAGGGAAATGAACCCGAACCGCCTTGGTGAAAGGCGAGCAACGTTTGCGCTGAGCCACAAGATGACTTTTTTTAAATGAGAGATTCTTATGTAAGAAAATAATGGTTTACACTATTTGGACTGAATATTTACATATGATATTGCTTGAAATCCAAGAACATAAATACTGGTACGTTTTAGGGAAAATTATATTCTGGTAGCAACGTAGGTAAATATTTAAATAAGATGAGGCCTTTACATTGTGTGCTTTATGACATCACACCTAAGTGAGCAGATCATTTTTTTGGGTTATGTATAAACACACGCAAGCAAGAACATATTACAACTATTAGTCGAGCATAGAAAACATTCTAACAATGACAGCTTTCTCTTCCCCATAATCAATGTGGGAACAAACAGGAATGGAGAGTCGACATAACCAATGTGGACAGACATTTAGAACGCTCTGTATAAGTGAAAGCAGCAAAAGCACAATTAACTCTTCTACTCTTCAAAAGCAAAAATTCCACAATTACAAATAATCTAGGGAGCTTACTTTTCGTGAGATAATTTTATGAAAGAGTGTACATTATTATAACTTTCCCTTGAGCTCTCGCAAGAATATTTCCTGATCTGTTAGGCACATGAAAATGAAAGAGTCAGTTGCACTACCTCAGCCAGCTATTACCTCACCCAAGGGTCAGCATATTGTTACTATAAAATTAATCACTTTCTAAGAAGGTTAAAATTATCCATTCAAATTGTAACAACTAATACTTACTTTTAACGGGGTTTGACTGTGCCGGAGTATGCGCTGGCACAGCGTACGATGAATTTTGGCTACTAGGCGGTGGGGGTGGGGGCGGAGAGGGAGGAGTGGGAGTATTGCTTCCTGAGAACGCTACAGGCACTGGACTTTGGCTAACTCCACTTCCAGTATTTATGTTTGGAAGTAATGACCTTAAATTATCAGGCCATTCTTTTGCATTAAAGCTATCCGATGCTGACTTTGGAACTGCAGAACTATGAGCAACAGCACCATTCTGAGCACTAAAAGTACTGTTTAACTGACTTGCTGTACTTGTATGATTATTTGAATGAGGAAATAACAAAGGGGTGGGATTAACATTATTAACATTCTGCTGGGCGTTTAAAGCAGATGATATACTTATATTGGCAGATATTGAATTTAAATTCTGAGGTATAGGTGAGGAAGTCCCAGTATTTGTTGAACTTGTACCATTACCCAATCCCATGAATGGAAGAATTTTGCTTCCTGCAAAAGACAAAAAAATAAATAAATAAATAATATAAATAATACATAAATTATAGACATTAAAGAGAAAGAGAGAGAGACAATATCAGATGTGATTTTTTAAATGGTACATCAATGGATTAACCAATCAAATTTTAATAAAGGGAAAACATAAATGGGAAAGGAAATAATCACTTGCACAAATTAGTAATTTCTATTAAAAATTCAAACAAATTGAAAAAGACAAATTTGAAAGAAATCTTTGAAATTGTAACAGAAGTATATTGCAGATAATTATAGTAATAAATATTTATTTTTTTATTTGAGTAAAAAAAATTAAAACCAATTTGAAAATCCATTTTTCAGGAAAGTGCAATGTCATTTGTTATACAGTTGAGTTTATCATATTTTGATATGTAAGCCTATTAAAGAAAAAAAGAAGTCAAAACAGAATTTATACAATACAATTTGTTTTGTGTTCTTGAAAGAAGAGGATACGAATATTCACAATTGAATATTAAAATATTTATCACGAAATCAATAATACGAGTGAAACTGCATTTTATATAAAATCTTTGAGAAGGCAATACTACACACACATCTCTCTCAAATACTAATTTCCTAAAATCCATTAAAAAACACTGAGTATGTTTTAAATTGACAGACAAATGAAATATTCAATTAATTTCTACAAATTTGTGTATATATCATATGCTTTCAATATAAATACACCAGTACACAAGTGAAACTCGCGAAGGCTGAGAACCATTTTCAGGGACATCAAGTTGAAGATTCTATTAAATGTGTCTCCTCAATGTTTTGCTCGATACGAGGTAACACTAGTTTTTATCACACAATATGTAATATTGCTAAGAAAGGAGAAGAAAAAATAAAAATGGATTTAACCTATACATCTTCACTGAGCAAGTTAATCAAAACGAAAATAATCACAATTTAGTACACCCTAACTCCAAAACTTCATTGATTTCAGTTAGCAAAAGAATATAAACTAATAGTTATACAACAGCACATACTATTTTTTCCCTTTATTAGCAAGGGTCATTCAAAAATACAAGAAAACTACTCACATTTTTAAAAAGGTTTAAATGCAAGGGAGAATCCAGAGACGAATTTTGGGAGGGGAAATTCAAAACGTTTTGGTTGAATGTGTCATTTTACAGATTTTGTAAAATGCCGCAGGTTACATTCAGTTCACGGCACGATACAATTTTATTCATTTTAATGATTATCCAAAAAAAATGTTTGCCCGAAAGTTTCGTGACAAGTTAAAATTAATAGTTACTGAAACATTTTATGATGGAAATTTCCCTCATTTCCTTTCCCATGGATTTAGCCTGCTAAATGACCATTACTTGATCTAATTTTGAAGAAAGAATTTCATTATAGACAAAAATCCTTCTTTTTAATATTACATACAGTTAACACAAAGTTTATGCTGCGGAAAATGTAACATACCAACAATACAGATGTAGTCAACAGTTGTTAACTATGTAATAATAATTTCCCTAAGGTTACATTTAGCCAAGCTAATAGGCTATTTCTAATGATTAACGTGATAAAAACTCTGCATGGTAACAACTAGCCACTCTCGGTAGTGCCAATGGCTACCTTGGAAAAGGCAGTCGTTCATAATCTATTTTGTATTTAGAATTAATTTATCAAATGTATAGTAAATATTAATACATTATCAAAAATCAGTTATAAGTTAATATTAACTACTAAAAGACCTATAGAAGTATTACATTGCAACACATTTGTTCCAATAAGCATTTATTATAGAATCTGTACTACCTATCTTTAGTAAATAAGGCATTACCAGTATTCGTAGGTGCTCTGGGAATTCCCAAACCAAATGCATTCATATGATTTGGTGCAGTTGTAAACCCTGGGGGAGGCAGCCGGGCACGTGGTGGGACAGACCCTGGGCCAGGCCCCGGACCCAGGGCCAAACCATCCATCTTACTACACGTATTCGCAGCAGCCACATTTGTTTGTAACCTGGGAGAGCCCATGAAAAAAAAAATTACACTTTCCACTATTTACAATTTTACAAATATAAATCAAATACAAATTAGAAAGTTCAGGCATATTTAAAGCTCGTATGTTACAGAATATTGATGAATCAGCACACATTACCCAACATAGATTTATAAAATAGAGAGGTTTGGGTTCGTTATAAGATTGAGTATTTGCTGGACAAATTTACAAATTTCTGACTGTATACTTTAGTTAACAATTACAATATCAACTATTTTATAGAGCTTAACATAAAGAACAGGTAACAGAAGAAGCATTACTTTCTTATGTAAGTTGTATCGTTTTAGGATAGCATAGGTCAAATCACTGCATCGTGATGGAAAGCACAAAGAAATAGGAATAATTAGCATTCCAAAAAAAGACTACGATAAAAAACAAAAACTGCATAGTAAATGAAAAAGTTGAACATTAATAGAATCTATCTAGGAAAGTCAAGAAAATACTAAATTGTAATTGTTTCATTGTAAATGGAATCACCCCTAAAAGGGCAAGAGAATGTAATTTATAATAGAACTTTTATTAAACAATTCCTTGTAATATTAATGGTTTGAATAATATGATGATTTTTAACAAATGGGGTTGTAACACAATATTAACAGAGTGATTAATCATTTCATATCACTTGAAATGTCTTTCAAAAGTTAATCAGAACATTTATTTTCACATACGAATAATTTCAAAACAATTCATGCACAAAGATTCCAGAATTCCATAAACTTCTGTACAGTAGTTCCTCTCAAGCATCTACCAATAACAATTCCTAAAAGCTATAATGATTCCCAACTGGCTTAGCGTACATAACCATCATATACTTACAATTTACGTGAATTATCATCATCATAGATATTATAAAATTATTATGAAGTTTTGCAAGGCATACTTGCAGTGCAGCACCACACAATCTATTGTGGAGGAATCTATGGAGGATATTAATGTAACAAAAAAAATAGAACAAAATGTACTGGAATAATTTTGTTAAGAATTAAAAAAAAAAAAGAACAGCGAGTTTCAAAAACATAACGAACAAGAAAAAACAACACAGAAAGACGACATCCACATTCACTGTGAGTAAGAATGAAAAACAAAGACTGAAGGGAGGCACAACAAATAGACTCGTACAAAGTTTAAAACATTGGTTTAAAACATTGGAAAGAAGGAAAGGTAGTAACCATGCATCCGCTAAAAAGTCGGCAGTAAACTTTTTCCTTCCACAAATAAGTGTTAATATTGATGTTACCTGTGATTATTTTGTAGAAGGTGTGGCTGAAGAGGTGCATGACAGCTAGGTAATATTTTTGTCCCGCCAAACATTGTTGCTTGGGTAAACTGTGCTGGATGGTGATTCATATGATTTAACTGGTGATACTGCTGATGGAGCTGGTTCAAATGACTGATGTGCGAATTAGGATGTGAAACATGATTCTGTTGCCCTTGAAGCATAAGCATCATGTTCTCTTTCTCCATCATTTCTGCAAGAGCTTTCTGAGTTTCATGGAATGGGTCGAAGCCAAGATCATCATCTGTAGCACGTTGATTTTCTTTTGGAGACATTTCTTCGTTGTTTTCTTGGGCACTATTCTCACTATCACCATTATATTCAACAAATTCATCCGACGAATTTTCACAACTTGTCTGTCTTTCTAAAGTATCGTAATTAGAATATTTTTCATTGTCACTAACACCAGAGTTTTCTTCACTTTCACTACTTGTCGTAGCAGGAAGCTTTTGAACGTCTCGCCCTGTTTTTGAATATGTCAATAAATTAGTTCCATCTCCTGTGCCTCCAAAATTGTTTGTATTTAAAACAAATTTACTGTTCACACCACCTTCAATAACATGTCTACTATAAGTTGTGCCTTCCAAAACAGGATGATTACGTAAATGTACAGGTAGAGGGGTCTGCGAGTTCTGCACTTGACTTTGCTGTCTGAGATGAATCTCTGAGAGGAATTTAGCTGCCTGTGCAGGTTGAATTCCATTCGGGATTACATGATTCCCTGATTGAATAAATGGATGTCTATTCACCATAAAAACTGCAGGATCTTGAACAAAGGCAGGGGAAGGCATATTGGGATATAAATGACTTTGACTACATGGAACCACATTAGGATTCTCACAATTGGCAGTGCTATGCAGTGTCATTTCCTCAGCACTCATTTCACATCCTGCTGATGGACCTGCTGTATCATCACTCACAACACCATTGCTCACACTTTCCTCTAACATGAGTTCATTGAGCTTATGATTTAAATGGCCTACTTCACTTAACCTGTACTCTTCAGAATTTTGTACAGCATTTGAAGATACATTTTCAGAAGATGATGAATGACTACTATGGCAATTGAAACTTTGAACTGAAATTTGCTGTCCATTTTGTGAATCAAAACTGACAGGATCACAGTTATCACCATCTTTTCCACCACTGTATTCAGAGCTCGATGAAGGAGTTTCTGACACAACCTGACGATTTGGACTGTCCGCTTCATTCGCAGGAACCGCAGCCCCTGAATTAGAAAATCCGAAGGCAGCTTGCCAGTCTTCTGATGAATGTACAGGAGGAAGTACATCGGGCATGTGCGTGAGAGTCAAGCTGCTTAATGGCCAGTCTGAACCTGCTGTGAAGTAACAAAGATTATTAGTAATAAGCTAATAAAACATTTCAATTACAAAATAAGCAACATTACATACAGTGACCAAAGGTCAAGCATGCCACAATTTCCTTATAGCATTTTATCTTCATTCAAGGAAGATCAGTGAACTTTATAAGTATTTTAAAATCATATACCTATAACAAAGACCAGCTGTGATAGCACATAGGTTACAAATTACCTCTGGATTAAAAAGTTGCTTCAGTGTTATCACATTTATTAAAGATGAAGGAGGCTGATTTCATTTAATTATTTTGTTACATATTAGTAAATCTCTATGTCATAAAATCTTCACCCTTATGCTGCTAACACATGTGTAAATAAAATTTGAGAACACTCAATTAATTACAAAATTAAAAGCAAGTTTTTACTTAACTTATATCACCAAAATAATTTACAAAGCAACTGCGAAGTTAATTCCATAATTGAAATAAGTAATATTACATTATCACAAGGTAAATTCTAAAGTATTAAGTATCTTTTCGAATGGCTCAACCAATCCAAGAGTTTTTTCTTCTACATGAACACCCTAAGCAAATACATACCTAAAGGAAATCACTTCTATTTCATCAAAATATATAATCTTAATAATAATAATTTTTTTTAAGTATATATTAAATGAAAATTATTAATTTTGTGTCCACAAAACACGCTTTAATTGTATAACTTTTAATAATAGAACAGAAATGTGTATTTGTGACAATTTCAGCAGTATGTTTAATCGAAGTCTATTCTACATGGCCATTTGCTAGGTTTTGTGTTAGAATGGTGGTGGAAATTCTAAATATAACAATGTTTATATGAAAAATATTGGTACATGAAGTAACACTGTACTAACAAAATCAATAAAGAGGAGAAGGGCTTTCTCAACCAACTACATAATTGTAATTTCCAAAATTTAACAAAGTACAATTGCTTTCAATCACAATAACACAGAAATGGTAGTATATTATCTTAAATGTACATAAACATTTTAACAAGTCAAAAGTTGAAGGTCATTTATTACATGCATAATAGTTAACCCCTTGACTTAATGATTATTTTGGAAATGTTGGTCCCCAAATTTCATTTTATTTACAGGTGGCTGGTCATTCACAAATTCTCCCAGGTTCACCATATCAAACCTTAAAATACCTGGAATACTCACTTTTTAAGTTAAAGGGTTAACGAAATAACATTTTCCTCTATTCTGAATGTAGATTATTCTGTTCCGAAAAAATCTACAAAAATTTTCATACGTATTTTTAAGTGTACATATCATAATATGTATTGTTTCTTCTCAATTACCTTACACTTCATTAATAATAGAACCACATTCAGATGAAATGAAATTATGAAAATATCATAAACTATGAAATTATATAAACATCACAATTACATTTATCTGAAACTTTTTAAAGCAAAATTTTACAATGTTGAAAACATTTTGGAAAATTTAGAATGTATGCATATTTTTTAGATCAAAATACATTTATCAGAAATTCTTTTGTAATAATAAATCTTGTACACAAAATATCACAAACTACACACTTTTAAAATGCTTTCAGAAATTATATTTTTTATATATTTTCAGAACAGAAATAATCATTTAAAATAATTCATTAAAAGCTTTGAGAGATCTGCTTCTGAAACTAGTTTACTGAATACTATTGAACATTTTAAAAGATAATTCCACTTATTTATCATATCAAACCTAGAAGATCTGTTTCTTCCCAACTGAACAAAAGACTACTTCACTGGCATTTTTCACGACTTCAACAAGCTAAAGTTGTTGTTCTACCATGCTTGTACAGAAAATGATTAAAATCAACATGAAGTAATTCTAAAGAAGCAATTGTACACTGCTTTAGAAGTAATCTCCATATTAAGTGAAATGTGCATTTTGACAACTTAACCATATGAAAAATAAAATATTTCCATTTTTATGATTTTTTAAATCCAAAATTTTATTTCAAAATTGATTTTATGTACATGGAAGCTCATTTTAGACTTGAACAATGCATATTATATTTTTCAATTCTATTAAAGAATCCTATTCAATGAATTGGGTCAAGAAATGTGAGTTTTCAAGACAACCACAGCGCAGTTACCTCCCCATCCTTCCAAAAACAGTGGACACCTTGGACACTGCACATATCAAGTGCTCCATTCCATTGTATTATCAGGGAATCCTATGCACTGTATCACAGTGAATCCTTGTAACAGACAGTAATACAATTTAATTTAATTTTCAAAATAAGATTTAAATATTATTTCCGTGTGAAAAAGCATTATTTAATTATTCTGTTTTGCACACACAATCCTATGATCCCGTATCATCCAAGGAAAGGACATCTCTTGATCATGAAATGATCAATGATGAAGTTATACAAGGTTTTTATAAGACTCTTTTTTTGTGCATGGTAATCACATTTCGAGTGTGTCTTGACATCCACTTCTAAACCATCACAAATATCCCCATCTTGAACATGATTTCATTATCCTACAGTACGAATGACATCTCAACTCATTACAAATAATTGTTTTTTTACTATCAATTTACAATGAAAATTTTATTCAACGAATTACATGACCTGTAACGCTAAACCCAACCTAATGAAACAATGAATTTAAGACGTTTCTTTAAAAGACGAATCTGCCAATTTTAGTTTTGAATATGCATAATTAAGGTCACAATTGTGTTTGCTTAAAAGAGACATTTAAATAACAAATATCAATAAACTTAAGAAGGAAACAACCATTGATTTCAACAATGGCCCATATTACACTCTTACACAGTTTACTTTGGAATCTTTTTTTTTAACGATTTAAATCTTTAACTCTATTGATTTTTTCTAAGAAAGAAAAAGTAATCACGCCAAATTTAAAGAAAAGTTCATTCTACTGTAGTTATTATCTGCAATAAATACGATTTTCCCACCAACCAATTGCAAATTAAAGAGAGATAGACTGGCTGCAAGAAACTAGGAATTAATGCTTTGCAATTTGTCGCTGGACGTCAGAAGTAATTATTTTACCATTATCATTACACTATCCTGACTTTCTGATCTTGGAATCAAACCAATCTTCAAATAATAAAAATGAAACAAAAATAAATTACAAAGAAGTTTGTATACAAATCTTCATTTCTGATTTGAAGGGTTGAATGCCAGTTAACTAACCCACCAAATTTTTAGGATTGCCAATTTGCTATTACACAAAACTATAACTTCTAATTTGGTTAAAGTATTTTATTATTCCCCCTGCTAATGTCTTTGTCTTGAGTCAAGTTCTTTCACTTCAACAAGCTTCATTAACAAATCAAGATTACCATCTTACTAACAGTCAAATGTTCATGTTGCTATGAATTATGCCAGAAGAGTTTGCCTAAATAACCTCAGTATAAGCAATTTGGGCAACCTCTAATCTCTTTTATAAGATCTGACTTTGGATAATAATGAAATATTAAACTATTAATATTTCAAGAGTATGAAGACATTTAAAAAAAATGTGGTTTAATTAGTTATCTAAAATGAGAACCTTTAATTTTTGCGTATTAAAATGTCACTTAGAATAATTAAGTGTAGGGTATATTGTTGAAATATAACCCTGAACTTTCACTGGCAATCTTTTACTACAGTAGTTTAGTTGATTCTGGTGCTCAACCCTTTCTTAGTGAATACATTTTGCCTTACGTACATGTAAAATATTGCTTTCTTTTAATTACAAATATCTATTACTTTCAGATATACCATTAAAAATGAATATTTTAAACGGAACATAATATTTATACATCCTGCAGTGTATGTTTCCTAATACATGTTTACAACTTGTTTTCACATCACATATAGTACATCTTTTTAAAATCAATTTGACACTTGATAATTGAAAGCTCATTTTCCAGGACACACACGCATGACAAGTATCATTGTTTTCCCAATGCATTTCACTTCTAATAAAATTGAAAACTACTCGCATTTAAAATTATCTGATTTTGTAAGAAAATACAGTAGCAAGTAAAGTACTAATGCATGACTGGAATTGTAAAATCATCCATTAAAGCTGCCAAATAATTATATAAAGTACAATCAAGAAATTAAATTACATTTAATACCTACACATAAATTAAAATATGATTTCAAACAAGTTTGTGAAAATCTTTTATACTGCTTCATAACCACCCACAAACTGGTCTGCTGTCCATAATTTTGTGCCCAAAGTACACATTTTTAGGTGGAATTAATTGCATTGTTAACGGTTAACATCCTTCTCACAATAACAATATGAAATTTTAAAAATTCATCATTAATGAATGTTGTGAAAAATTCATAGTTTCGGGAAACGGCAATCAGTAATATATGCTGGCACAATTAAGTTTGCTGCAAAGGTGTATTAGAAGACATATTAACCGAACATTTTGAAAAAGACCCAATTATGTCCTTATGAACATGATTAATATTGTGTGTGTTAAAACCATTTCATCGGAAAAGCACAAACAATTGTCACATTCATGATATTCCACTAATTAAAATCACAGTTTCATCAATACATGTTTAACTTGCAGATTTTGAAGAAAGGAAAGAAAGAAAAAAAAATCTTTGCGGAAACAAAAAATTTATCTCAACTACATTGAACAGTGAACACATTTGCAGAAAATACATAGGCATTCTTCCAAGAAAAGCACTATTAACAACACAATACCTGTGTTACAGCAAAATTATGTGGTTTCCAATGGAGATTTTTAATACACACTGCGCATGTATCAAATCCCATATACATCGTTCACTTACTACTTGTTTAATCCCTGGTGTCCAATTACTAAAAAAGACTACATGCTGATGAGCACAGGTCACTATTGTGTGGGTACAAATGTCCATTTTATTAACTACTCTCCATGCACATATATTCATGCAACTACACACCCATTCACACACATTCACACAGTGCAATTCAACTCTCTGTTGAGATTTAAATATATACAAATCCGA